CCCGCAGGCCTGGGTGCACACGCAGAGAGGCCAGCCATAACCCCAACCCAGGGTGGCGAGGCCTGGCCGACTCTGCAGCCCCAGCGCCTCCAGGCCGCGTCGGTCTCCCCCGCGCTCGAGCCTACTTGGTCTCTCCCGCGGCCTTCCACGTTACCTAGGAGACGGGCCGGCCGCCCAGTGCCGAGGGCGACTAAACCCACGCTTTCCAGAAAGTCCCCGCAACACCAGGACCCAAGGGTTCAGAGGCCCGTGCCCAGCGCAGCCACAGGCCTCGGAGCCCTCGCGATCGAGGGGTGCGCCCGGCCAGCAGCCAACCGCAACAGGAGCCTCAGCTGGAGGAGCGGGCTCTCAAGCCGGGATCCCGTCCCGGGAACCCGCCCCGCGTCCCTTCTGTCGTCTGGGCCGTAGAGCCAATCAGAGCCCAAGTCCAGGATCGCCGCTCTGCGAGCATCAGCCAATTGGCGTGGCGGCGGGCCCGTTCCGATTTGCATGGACGCCCAACGCTCAGCCAATGGGAATGTGACTGGCGTGGATGACAGCCAATAAGAAGCTCCAAGAGGCGTGGCCTCGGGCGTCCCACGAGGTGAAGATGCTGCGGGCGGAACCTGCTGGAGCGGGCGGGATTCGGGGGCGCTAAAGTCGCAGGGGCCGGGCGGGAAGGAAGATCCGGAGCGGGGCGCAGGATCCGGAGCTGGAGCCCCCAGGTAAGTGCGGTGAGGGAGACCCCGGTGAGCCGCGGTGCCGGAGGACTTGCGCCCAGAGAGCTGCGGTGGGCGCCGTGGTCCCTCTGCGGCCGTTCTTCCCAGGCCCCGCGTCCCTGCCCCAGCCGCCGTTCTCACCTCTTCTCCAGCCTCCTCACCTCCTTCTCTACCATCTCCCTTCCCCCATCGCATCCTCCGGTGGCTTTCCGGTCCTCCCGCCTGACCTCAGCACTCGCGTCCCCGACCCCAGTCCAAATCTCCCCTCTAGCCTGCCCCCTCCAGGCTGCCCTCCCCGCCACCTCGCCTCCCCCTCCCTCACCTTTCCGGCCCCCTCTCGCGTCCTCCGCGCTACCCGGGTGAAGTGCTCACAGTTGCCGGCGCCGGTCTTCGGCACCTCTCTCCAGCCTGCTCCTCCGGGCGCAGCCTTCCGGCTCGTCGCCTGCCCCCTTGCCCCTCCGGTCCCTGGCCCCGTCCTGTCACCCCTTCTGCCTGGCCCTGGCACGAAGCACTTCCGCACCTCCTTACCTGCTGCCGCACTGCTCCCTGCTGCAGTATCAGCGGCCAGCCAGGCGCACCTGCCCACCTGCCTGCCCTCTTATCAAGTGCAACTAGCCTGCTCCTCCTGGCATTTGCCGGGGGGGGGACCTCTCCCTCCCGCCCCACCCCCACTCCCCTGTTCAGCCTCACTTTGTGATTCAGCATTTTGGGGGTAGGTAACTTTCTTTGCTTCTGGGCACGATGGGGACCTGTGGGAAGGCAGGTGGTTTGGACTTTGGTGTTAGCGGGTCACCTTCAAAACCGGACCTGAGCTGTTTGTTTGAGAGAGTGGCTAGAGCTGGGACCCGGCAGTGGGGGTTACCTTTCCCTCCCTTTCCTTTGCCTGCTTTGGTTGAACCTTGTCCAAGGGAAGATGACATAAGTAATAGCTCTTGGGGAAATGAGCTATTAGCATTTATGGAAATTAATACATCTACATCCTAGGAGCAGGAACACCAAGTTCAGGCCACAGCTGTCCCCCTGTCTGCCGCTTCAGGATTTCTCCTTCCCTGCAACTTCTCCCCCTCACCCCCACCCCCATCCCAAGAGCTCCCACTCTGCTCAGGAAGCCGCATTCAGGCCTTGAGCTGCAGGGTTTGGGGACCCGCCTGTGGAGAGCTGTGTCCATCCACCCAGTTCCCTCTTGGCAGACTCTCACCCACTGCAGAGCCCAGGCTCACATGCAGCTTCTGGGATCCTGGCCCTGGGCTTTCTCCGTGTGGGGTCCTCAGGGTGCACTCGGCTCCCCAGGTCTGTCCAGCCCTGTCTGTCCATCTGGCCCACTATGCACCCTCTCTGGGATCTCTCACTGTGCAGGTCTCCACCGGCCTCTGGCACTGAGTGTTTGGGCTGCAGCAAGTCCTTGCCTGGAAAGCACCCTGAAGGTTTCCTATATAAAACCAAGATCCATCCTTTTCCTCTCTTTGCTACACCAGCCAATAAATGTGTGCGCCGATCAGGACCCGGGACTGAGCAAGGCAACGGGTGGGAGTGTGGCATGGAGGACCCTAAACCCTTTTTCGTGTGTTTCTAGTGTTCAGAGGCCCTAGGAATCTGGATGCAGGGCCTGGATGGGAGGAAGTTTGCCCGACATCAGGTGCCTGTGGGAGACAGGGTAAGGTGGAACTCAGGCCAGGGGTGCCGAGGTGCCCCCATAGACAGGGCTCTGTGGGCTAGCAGTGCGAGGAGGCTTCATTCCTCTGGGCTGGCTTCTTCCTTTCTTTCCTTTCCTTTTTCAGTCATCTCCTAAACCCAAATGATTCGGGAGGGAATGTGTGGCACCAAGGTTTGATTTGGCAGCTTGGGGTTAGAGTATGGAGGGAGGGGCCCCTCGTGTTTGTGGGCGCCCGGGCATGGTAACTGGGGAAACAGTCTGCCTCAAAGGAAAGCCTGCTGTACTGTTAGGATGCTGAGAACACATTTCCATGTCCACAGACACTGGATAGAGCAGCATGTTTGGACTTTGGCTAAATTCTGTGATCATCATGGCACCAAAAGTCCCAGGGTCGAAGCCTTTTTCCAGAGTCACTGAAAAAGGAAGCAGAACAGCAGAGAGCAGTGGGCAGCGTTCAGAAAGGGCTGACTTTGGAGATATCCGGGAGCAGGGTCCCCACCACCCTCTCCATGCTCTCTCCCAGCAGCCGGAGGTCTCGCCCCATAAGGCAGAAGACCCTAAAGCTGCAAGGGTCCTAACTACCCAGCATTCTGCCCCAGAAGAATAAATGGCAGAGGTCCCTCCAGGGCCATGCAGGGCAGAGAGGGGCTGGGGGAACCCCAGGCTCCCCACTGATGTGGGCTCAGTTCCCTTCCTTGGCTGCCTAAGCTGGAGGAAACTGTAGCAGCGTGGCTGACTTTCACCGAAGAAGCCAGCATCCTTGGCTGTGTCCGAACCACAGAAGGGGCTGTCGAGAGAGGGGAAGGTGCCACTGGCCACAGAATTCTCAGGGACACCAGGCTTCTGGCACAGGGGTATCATTCATGGCCATCAAGCAGGCACTGGGTGAGAGGAGGTGGCAGAGGGAGTCCCCACATGGGAGCCACATTTCTGATCTTGCTTTGTGGCAGGGCCTTTTATATCGGCCTACAGGAGGAAACAGACACTTAGCAACAGTGAGACAGACCCCAGCCTGCCAGCTGCTGAAGGAAGCAGCATTCTGGTCCTCCCCTGGCAGGATTCAGGGAAGTGCTCTCTCTGCGATGTGGCCCCCGCCCCAGCCTTGGCCCAGCCCAAGTGCACAAGACGGGTCCTTGGTGCCACTGAGATGGTGCTCTGGGTTCAGCTGGCGCAGCTGGTCTTCACCCTGTCCTGTGTACTGTCTCCAGGCTTCCACCTGACCTGGGCATGGTGGGCACATGAGTCCCATGCCCAGGTGCCCTGTCCCTGTGTCTTTCACCGCATCCTGGTCCCATGAGCTTTCTAACTCTTATCCTCGCTGGGCAGTTTCTCAAGAGACCTGGACCTGCTCTGCTGAATGTTTAGCCCCAGAGACCTGAGGACCTGATGTGTGGTCGTGTGCATGTCACCCTCCACCTCTCCCACCCTCCAGGCCACCCCACTTTTCTCCTTCCGTAGACACTTACAGATTCACTGTTTTGAGCTACGCTGGTTGCAGATGAAATAGATTGGAAAAAGCAAGAATTATCAAGAAAGGGTCCCCTGATTTCCCACTCGCTGAAAAGACCCAGTTAGAAGTTCTCCTCACCATGCCCTTGCTGAGTGGCTGGAACTCAGAGCAGCAGCTGAATGTTGCTGTAACAAGATACCCAAGACTGGGCCATTTATAGAGAAGAGTTCATTTGGTTCACCGCTCTGGTGGCTGGGAAGTCCAGAACACCGTGCTGGCATCTGGGAGCTTCCTGCTGCGATACACTGTGGCATGAGGCACCCGTGACCAGACAGCAGGAGCGTGTGTCACTTGATAAAACCAGGGACCCTGGCCCTCATGACCTCACCGAATCCTGGTTGCCTCCCCAGTACCCCTCCGCTGAAACTACCCTCGAACACATTGTGGGATTCGCTTTCCAACACACACATCGTGCGGACACCTTGAACCATAGCACCATGTGTGTGGTTCTTGCCAGACCCCTATGTCAGACCAGCACAGACCAGCGAGCCGCCTGCCATGGAGGTAGTTTCCCATGGGGATCCACTTCCTGGGCGCTGTGGGTCACAGGTCTTGTCCCCAGCCAGTTAGTTTCCTAAGTTGTTTCGTGAGCCCACTCGATGGTCCTGGGGAGGAGCTGGGAAAACCCTGCTGACTGCTTGCAGGGCAAGAGAAAGAGGGGACGGAGGGTCACCCCCAGCCTGGCCTCGCTTGCCTCTAGCCTTTGGGGCCACCGCCTGTGGGCACTGCTCTGCCTGCCTGTCTGGCCCCGGGGTGCCCAGCATACCCCTGCCACCCCCACGCCTGGTTTTGCATCTTCCATTCCTGGGCGGCTTCCTGGTCCTTCGAGCGAACTTCGACCCTGAGGTCCACAAAGAAGCAGCTAGGACGGTGCCCAGGAGCCCTGCCGCCCTGAACTCAGTGGGCACAGGGGCTTCCAGAAGTCAAATCTTTGCTGTCCCCCCTAGATGCAGTAGCAAGACGGTTGACGGGGAAATTCTGATGAAGCCATTCAGGAGAAATTAGATTTAAATCTGAAACGTTGTTTAAAACCTGCAAACACCGACGAGGAGGAGAGGTCTTGTGGCAGACATCTGAGGGGCCAGTGACAAGCAGAGGCCACCCAGCTCCAGCCTCGGGACAGAGAGCCAGAAAAGGGTGCAGTCCCTACAGAGGAACCCCGCCAAAGAGGCTGGGGTGGGGTGTTGATGTAGACGTGGAAGATGGACAAGGCCAGAGAGGGACCCAGAGCCTCTGGACTGGAAACACCTCGCTGGCCCAGCCCTGCTGGTTGTTTCCGAGAGCACTGAGAAGGTAGGGCTGGACAGTGCTTGGTGGGACCTAGGGTGACTGCCAATCACCCCGGGTGCCAGCCCTGGCTGTGGACAAGGCTGCCTGAGAATTAGGAACAAAATGAGGAGGGTGGAAGACAAGGCCAGAGGAGAGGCTGTGGGTGCTGGGCTTGGGGGAGATGAAGGTCAAGACAGAAGGTCCAGGATTATTCCAGGGCCCAGCAGGGCAGTGTCTGGTGTGTTAGCGGGGGTGAAGCGATGTCAGAATCCCCTGCAGACGGAGCACCCTGCTTACTACCTGGTATCTGCTCTTCACTCTATCAGAACTGAAGTTCAGCATGGCTTTTCTGAGCAC